TCTGGTTGTTTCATACGTAGTGGTCTGTTAAAGTTGTTCCGGGTAAATTTAACACATTCGAATAAACAGCTCTACGAAATGATGGAAGATAATCTTTATTTATTGATGAATGATCTTCGAACAAAAAATATCAAAGCTACAATAAATTGAAAGCGTTAAACGGTTGTTCGAGGGAGAACTTCGGTGATTTGGACGTTGTCGCTGAATCGTAGGTCGTTCTAGAGGTCCGATTAGCATGAATCTGAGCTCCGTTATGGTTTTGTAGCTTGTCCTCGGAGGTGGCGAAGGTGTATTGTTTAGGGCTTTTTGCTGTGTTTCCTCCTCTTCTGCTCTTTTCGGAGCTCTCTCCTTTATAGAGATGTTTGTAACCCTAGTTGTTTAGGATTAGTTTGATATGTCGGTTCGAAGCTATCTCTTAGAGATTCGAACTTATCCTCAGTTGAAAGTCCTATATCCCGTAGGATTCGGAGCTCGTCCACCCCCTGGGATTCGAACGTCGTATATTATGCAGAATTCGAAGGTACATCATTTGAACCTATGCCATTCGGACATCTGTCCATTTAGACCTAAGTCATAGTTGAGTTTTTGTAATGGGTCAAACTAATGTATTAATTTTTCCCAACAACTTGCCCTCACTCTCTAATTTCTAATTAGAATTTAGAGAGTAGTAAATCTAGTAGGTACGTTCGAATCTGTGATTATCATGGACGTCGCTCAAACTGTATGGTGTTGCTATTTACTTTTATTGGGATGCACACATGTATGTTCCATGTATATTGCTGCTTGTCGCTTGTGATTGTCGTTTGCCCATCGTTCATATGGTTTCACCGTTTTGGTTTTAACACTATTCGGATGATATAATGTAGAAAAATTTAGCTGTGCTAGAGACGACCTCTGCATGTTGCTTCGAAGGCACTTTCTAAGGATAAGCCAGTTATCAAATCTTCTTTGAAGTGTACATCTATGTCATGGATGACCGATGTCATGTTTGTCACGTAGTGTTCTGTTTGCCAACTCTGACATTTCCTCTGCGAATGGTCAATGCAACTACTACTTTTCTCATGACCTTGAGAGTTAGAGAGCTAGAACGTATTACTGCTTTGGACGATGTCGTGTTCTTATTTTCGAAGGTACTTTGGAAGCTTTAGCTGTGCATCGATCAAAGAACATTGCTAAACCCTGCTATTACCACGAAGGATCATGATGCGAGTTCTTGGATGGGTAAGGTCAGTGACCTTAAAGATGAGGTAGCTTCTTTGAAGGATGGAGGTGTTCATTGTGAAGTTGAACATGGGAAGTAGGGCTCTATATCTTGGGGGGTTCTCTTAACTCATAGTGATCGTTGCAACACTCTTAAAAATTATTGAAAACAAGTTTTGGAGCTCTTGCAAGTTTCTTTGAACGTTGCAAGTATCTTCTTTGTTGTGTTTTGGGAACTCTTACAACTTTTGTTTGAACCGTGTATTGCTCTCTCCCATTGTTCGAAGCTCTTGCCAGTTCCTTCTGAACGTTGCAACACTTTGTAGTTCATTCGGAACTACTACATATTCTTTATTTTTAAGTTGCATGCTCTTTACATGTTATTTTAAAACTGCTACAAGTTCTCTTTTGAATGCTGTAATGGTTCTTCTATAAACTTTTTGAATCTTGTCTTTGATGTCGCGATGACATTTTCCTTAGTTCCATTTGGAGCTTGCACTTTCGTCTTTGACGTTTCTTCATTCTTAGTTTTTCAGAGTTTGCAATTCGAATTTAATCGTTGCAACGCTTTCTTTAGTTTGTTAAACAAGGCAATTTCTTGTTAAACGTTGCGGTGCTCTATTTGAGTTCCTGCAAGTTTTTGTTGATGTTGTAATGTTCAAGAGATTTTTTCCTTTGAACGTAATAGCGCTCACTTTGAATATTTTTGGAGTCTGCAATTTCGTTTTGAATGTTGCAGCTCTCTCTTTGTTCTTATGGAGCTGCTGCACGTTCCTTTTCACCGTTGCAATACCTTATTTGAAAATTTTCACAGCCCTAATTCGTTTCGAACTTGCATCTCTTTCTGTATATTCCAGAGCTTTAGCAAGTTCTATTTTAACGTTGCAACGCTCTATCTGTCTTTTTTAATTGGAGCTCATACAAGTTCACAACGTCGCCGTGCTCATTTTCTTAGTTTTTGGAGTATGCAATTTTGTTGTGAACGTTGCAGCACTCTCGCTATCTTTCTGGAGCTTTTGCAACTTTTTTTTGAACCTTGCAGTGTTCCTTTTGTAGCTCGTTGAAGCTTACAAATTTTTGTTTTTAATATATTGCAATGCCTTCTTTAGGCTTTTTGGAGCTCCTATTATTCCTTTTTTTGGATGTTATAGCTCTCTCTTCTGCCTTCTTTTTGGAGCTCATACAAGTTCCTTTGGGACTTTGCAACGCTTTATTTATAAAACTTCGGAACTTGCAAATTCGTTTTGGAGGTTGCAATGCTCTCTAGAATTACTACGATTCGTTTTTCGAACGTCGCAATGTTCTGTCTATAAAATTTCGGAGCTAGTGCAAGTTTTATTAAACGATGCAATCTGATTTTTCAGTATGTGTAGTGGATGATGAGTTGAATGATCTTTGAGCGTTTCTTTGGTCTTTTCGACTACCGTTTATGATGTTAGTGTTTTCACTTTGAGGTCGATGGTAAGGTTTGTCGTCTCTCGTAGCTCTTTCATTCCTTACCACACGGGATTCGGACTGGGGGGAGTGTCGATGACGATAAGCATAGTCTTCTTCCCACTTTATTTGTGTCAATGCTCGAGAAAGCACGTCTTCCATCGTCTTGCATTGGTACTTTGTTAGCTCTTTGTAGAGATCGCCATCAGGAAGCAAACCTCTCTTGAAGCCGGAGATGGCCGTGGACGTAACACAACTTGGTATTGATACTTTTTCTTTGTTAAAACGCTCAACGTAGCTCTGTAGTGATTCTCCTTTCTTGTGTATTACCTCGTATACAGATTGCCAACTATTTTTTCCAGATTTATGCTGCTTGCGAATTGCTCAACAAAGTCATTGGTCAGTGATGCAAAAGAATTGATAGATCCATTTGGTAGGTTCGCAAACCAGTGAAGAGCTGGTCCGGTAAGACTCGAACCAAACCCTTTGCACATGCTAGCTTAACGGTATTCTCGTCTGATCGCAGTACCAAACATTAGTTGGTTGTACTGCGCTATGTGATTGTCAGGATATATGGTGCCATCATACATCTTCATTGAATGTACTACAAATCTTTTGGGTATTTCCACAAGTGCGATCTCGTCCGTGAACGGAGTATCTGCGTAACAGTTGGGGGAGCTCTTTGTTTTTGGTGGTGCTACTCCGGGAAGTCGCTTAGTCATTGCTTCCATCTCTTCGAGACGTTTGAGAACCATGTGTGGATCATAAGGTGATCGGATTGTCGCTGCTTCATTACGGTGAAACAAAGATTGAACGATGTTCGTCCTAACTGCGTCTGTGTTAGGTGCACCAGTTCTTTGTAGTAGCTTTGTTCTAGTTTCTTTAGTTGGTGTATTCTCATCCGGATCGACACGTCTATGAAATTGATTTCGAACTTTGACCTTGGTGTTTCTGTATACAATGAGCAGAGAGTCGTTTGTAGTTTTCAAAGTAGTGTTCTCTGCTTTGAGCAATGCTAGTTGATCTTCAGCCTGCTTCAAGTTGGCGGTGAGCTCCACCAGTTGAGCAGCAGGATCTTGAGTGTTGTCACCTCCCGTAGGAACCTTCCGATTATCGTGGTCTCTCATATCTCACGTAGTTAAACTGCCCCTCCTTCTATCGCCAACTGTTTCGGGTAAATTTAACACGTTCGAATAAACAGCTCTACGGAATGATGGAAGATAATCTTTATTTATTGATGAATGATGTTCGAACAAGAAACTCAAAGCTACAATAAATTGAAAGCGTTAAACGGTTGTTCGAGGGAGAACTTCGGTGATTTAGACGTTGTCCCTGAATCGTAGGTCGTTCTAAAGGTCTGATTAGCATGAATCGGAGCTCCGTTATGGTTTTGTAGCTTGTCCTCGGAGGTGGCGAAGGTGTATTGTTTAGGGCTTTTTGCTGTGTTTCCTCCTCTTCTGCTCTTTTCGGAGCTCTCTCCTTTATAGAGATGTTTGTAACCCTAGTTGTTTAGGATTAGGTTGGTATGTCGGTTCGAACCTATCTCTTAGAGATTCGAACTTATCCTCAGTTGAAAGTCCTATATCCCGTAGGATTTGGAGCTCGTCCATCCCATGGGATTCAAACGTAGAATATTATGCAGAATTCGAAGGTACGTCATTCGAACCTATGCCATTCGGACATCTGTCTATTTGGACCTAAGTCATAGTTGACTTTTTATAATAGGTCAAACCAATGTATTAATTTTTCCCAACAAAAGTTACTCCTTAGTTAAATTTTAGTTTTCGTTAATACTGAAACTATTATACGAAATTCAAAAGCTTTAGTGTATGTTTTTCTATTTTGGTTATATGGATTTGAAGAATCTCATAGATATCCATGTTATTTGAAAGTTGAGTTCTATGAGTAAAAGTGTGTAGAATCCATGTCTCAATAATATGAGATTTTAATAGGATTAGAGAATCTATAATAGCTAAACTTTTCCAATAACAAGAAATTTCAAATAAAATTTAAAAATTCTCAAACTAATAACAACGGATTTTACTTAGAATTTAAGAATTCATAAACCAATAACGGTGGAATTTTGAAAATTTTAAAACCTATACAACTTAATTCTTCAATAACCCCCCCCCCCCCCTAGTTAAAAATAAATTATAGTTGATGCGAGTCAAAATTAAACCCTAATACAACATAGTTAACCCAAACATAATTGATATATTGTGTAAATAATTTCTGAAAAAGTGGTATTTTTCCAAAGATTTTAAAACCATAACATTTATTTTATCTAAAAATTGTTTATTTTTCCAAAAAAAAAAGAATTTTGCGATATATGTTCATTTTTTGGGTACAAATTTAATGATATTATTTAATATTATAATTTTCAAAGTAATTATTTAGTTTTAGAATTTTTGAAATAATTATTTTTGACAAGTTTAGGACTATTTGAATGTGTTTGGCAATTAGAATTAGAGTAATCAAAATAAAAGTATATTTGAAAATGAGTATAAAATAGTTAAATAAATCTACAATATAAAGAGCTGTTAACTCTCTCTCCAAAAAAATTACCACATCCACATCTATTTGACTGACATGTGGCACTTAAAGTTTTTTTATTAAAAATAAAAAAAAATTATCTAGAATAACCTACTTTTTAAAAAGAATAGCTAGTATAACACTTAAAAAAAAAATTGTTCATGTAACCTGTTTTGAATTCTTTTGGTTCCATAATACCAAAATTGCCCTTTAACTATTTTGAGAAAACTAAATGTTTTAAATTCATAATTTTAAACTAATAAATATAATTAAAATTTTCAAAGTTAAATACTATTTTTCTGGAAACAAAAATATATTACCCTAGATAACTTTACCTTATCTATATTTTACTCTTTTTCGACTTTCGCCGTCGGACACAAAGTTTTTCCCACCGATTCTCCTCCGCCGCCGTCTCCCCATCGCCATCGACTCTTCTCCACAAAAAAATTGATCTGTGAAGGTAGCCTCCTTTCTTCCATATCCTCTACTCATGATTGTTTGCATATTCCTCTTTTCCATTTTATATAAAAACATTTCCCATCACATTCCTGCAACTT